ATTATTTTATTGACCAATACACAATATTGTTAATTTCTTTTTTCTTTATTTTTTTCTCTTGACACCCATTGTTTTGTGTTTTGATGTCACATATAACGAAAGTTCAATAATACAAAACAATGCAACGATTTAATATACAAACTCATTAACACGCGATTTATGCAAAATATAGTATGTTGACAAAAGAAAAAACAGTTACATAGCCTATTCTTCATTTGCCTCTAGGCCTTTTTTAATTCTCAGTTGCAATGTCGCTTTTTGCAAAATATTGAATACAGCTACTGGGCTACGTCAGTTTATTTGAATTGTTGCTTGGCTTAACTAACACTTTGCTATTGAAAAAAAAAGGGGGAAAAAGATTAATGGTAGAGAGTGTGTGTATCTGAGCACGTATGGAGACAAACTTTGTCAAATTTTGTGGAAGAAAGAAAAAATATTCAGCTTTATTTGTCTATATTTGTCTACAGAACAGCATTTAACTTCCAAATCGGACATCAGACACTGCACAGTTAACACAAACCACATATTGGAATAGGCCTAATCTAGGCTTACTGAGTTACACTTGAAAACACAACACATTAACGGCGTTATTATTATTTACATGGAATATGAAAACCACGGTGACATTATAAATATTTACAATTATGAATTATGTACACGAACACGTAATTAGCAGGCGGGAATAGGAAACAAAGCAACCGCCATAATCGTTAAATACGGGATTAACAATATCGGTGTTGTGTGACGACATTACAACATTTAAACGTGTACTTGGTGCTATACATTTGAAGAATCTAAATCAAGTAATAGTTCTAGATTAGGAGGCGTATTATTGTTCCAGTTATATGTGTTATCGGCGCTGATTAATGAGGTAATATCATCGGTCGTTAATGGTTCCAGTTCAGATTCAATGTTCGTTTGATGTTCATTGTGTTCCGTAATGTTCAGGTCATGTAACTCTACGTTACTCTCAATGTTCTCCAGGCCTACGTCGTTTGAATGAATTAATCCTGTGACATTCGGCATAGATATTGAGATGTCCTCTTGTCTGTTGGAATCACATGAAAAGTTTGTATTGTACTCTTCGCTAAAAGATCTCGGTACGTCTTTGCCCATTCGGCGAGGTCGCCCCTTTGGTTCATTTCGATCGCTGACACTTTTAGGCCTAATTTCACCTCGACTGTTTGTTATCATAGGCGAAATTTTGTTACTTTTACAATACACAGCAGAATTGTGATTTTTAATATCCTCGTCAATTAACTTATAAGAATCTAAAGTTTTCTGAGATTCATCTGGCAAGTCTGAATTGCTTGATGGTGATATGCATTGGTGCTGTGGTGTTTCGCTTTTCACACAGTCATTATTTGGTTCCTCATTCGGAATCAACCTCTCTGATTCCGCTTCTTGGAGGGGTTCCATAATTTTATCTACACCTAATGAGTTACTACTACGTGTCTTTTTATACTTCGATTTAAGTATTTGTTTATTTGAGGAGTCCCCATTACAAGGCTGGCTCGTCGTTGCCGTGACGATATCGTCTGGTAAAGATGCGTATCTATAGATAGGTGGGGTGCGCCTTCTAAGAGCCATGTCGCGATCGACTGCTTTTAGCCGCTTTTCAGAACAGCTACGTCGCCGGAAGCTTAAAAATCTTGCTCTATGACTGGTTGATTTTTGGTGAAGTATTGGAAGAGATTCTCTTCGAATAGACTTGCGAACGTTCCCATTTTGAGCGTCCCTATAAAACAAAAGACACACAAGGCTATCATAAATCAATAAGATCTACACAAAAATAAAGAAGTAAACGAATAAAAGGTAATTTAGCCAAGACAAAATAAACAAGATTTACAGTGCACTGCTATTCTCAGACTGATGTGGGAGGAAACTCGTAGATACCGTACTCGCTGTCTCTTATACACATCTAGATGTGTATAAGAGACAGTAAACT